ATATCCTGATCCAGATTAATCCAGCCCATACCACTCCATCCTATTTCTTTAACATCTACCCTACTATTATATTTCCAGCTACGTCTGGATCTTCCTAGTGATCTCTTTCCTTCTGGATTTCCCTCCAAAATCCTGTTAATCATTCATTCAGTCATTCATTCATCAGTGGCTCTAAAGCCCTTTGTTGGGCCCTGGCCTCTTCTTGAGTTTCGCATTCCTTTTTTATACACACGGTAGGTCTTACTGGGTGAACCCACAATCCCAGTGTTCGAGCGAGCGAAGACAGTTCATGCCTTAGACCGCGCGTCCACTGTGATCGACCCAAAACCCTGCATGGACTCTCTACTTCCGAAGGCGTGCTACATGCCCTGCCTAACTTCCTTCTTGACTTGATCATAGTGCAAATACCAGGATAGTCCACTTTGATTTTCGCTCAGTTGAGGTTTATGATAACTGCATTTTAAAAATTCTAATCGTGTGTTCCATATTCAGCTCACTGATACTTAAGGGTTTGCAAAAAAATCACAAGTGATAGAGCTTCTGTCTTCACGTTTGCTTTCAGTGAGGAAGAAAGTAAACAAAATAACCTGATCTTGTAGGACACATAAAGTGAAGGAGCCCAGTTTGTATCCCCACAGACATGTTAAACTTCTGTCGTATTTTGACGGTTTCGGGACGTCCAGTCTTTTGGCTGGCGTTTGTCTTCTTTAAGGATGTAAAAATTTATCGAATATAAGTAGAATTAGTTAACTTAATGAAAAACAGATATAATTATGGAATAGTTTTGCGTTAGATTTCTGGCTTTCGTTTCCAGAATGGCTGGAACATATCACACAATAATTAATGTGCGTACGTGTATGTGTATGTGCATGTGTTTGTAAGGGGGCGTCTAGGCTGGTAAATTCCTCTGGTGAGGTGCACTGATGCCAGTAGGTGCATACCATTAAGTGCCAGAAGACCATCCGTTAAGTAGGGCTCTGCTGGCAAAACCTAGCTGCTCCGTCTCGTGGTGACTCCTGGGCAACACTTTCTGGGGTGAGAGCACAGATATGGCAGGCGCAGCGGGTTGAATGGCGAGTATCTGGCGCCTTCAAACGGGACTCTGTGGCAAAGGGAAAGAAACCCCCTACAGAAAAACCGAGGGTGGGAGGTTCTTTAGGATTGGTGAAGTCAATCTCCATAAGGGAGTACACCCTGACAGAAAAACATTGGTCCTTCTGAGTTAAGGGGGTTGGGTAAAGGCTAACAAACTTTCCAGAAAACATTACTTGTTCAGACCCCCACCAAAAGGGAGGCAAAGTTTAACTTAAAAGGACCGTATAGCCAAAGAAGAAGAAGAAGACGCCCGCGTGTGTGTGTCTCTCTCTTTAGACACAAATGGTCTCGGATTCGATCATGCCATGTGTTTCCTGTCAAAATAAACAACGGACACAATAGGAGCTTAGCCTGAAGGTCCAAAACCACTAATAACAAGAGACCCTCAATAGACATGGTACTGCACCAGTTACACCCACCCCTGATCCTCACACCGCAAGATAAATCCTACTGTTGCCTTTCAACTCCTTCTCCTGCTTCCAATTGGACATGTTCCCAGAAGAATTCTACATGAATTTAGCTTTTCTTCATCAGCTTACATCTTTCATCTCCCCAGTCTTGGCACGTGCTTCGTCCGTCTCAACTTCCTCGACATGAGCATCATAATAACATCTGGTGAAGATTATATATTATGGAGCTTTCATTAGATTCAGCCAACTCGACAAGGAAACATTTTGTCTTTCCTCTCAAGTACGAAATAATGAATCTTGTCAGCACGAAGTGGGTTGCCACTTCCGGTATTAATCGTCCCCAGCGGCACCCTAGCCTCCAGAACGGATGGAAATCCATCTGCACTTCTGACCCACCTTCACTGTGTTGATCTGGTGGCCTACATGATGGGTATGTGGTCCACTCACTCACACTGCCCACAAACTTAGCCTTAGCCTTCAACATAGGCAACCCTCTCGAAGTTTATAAGCAATCTCTCGTGAACCTCTGGAATTGGGTTTCTGAAAAAGCACCGCGGATGGCAAAACTAAGACATCATGAGAAAGTGGGCTTTAAGGGAACTACAGTTAAACCTCGTTATGGGGCCTCATTGCCGATGTCCGGTGTAACCGAGTGAAGGGGTATTCACAGAAGTATACCATAGTTCTACATAACCAATACACGCAATAGACGTAGAAACACAGAAGTGACTACATATTTTTTATATTTGGATTATTTTTAATTTAAAATAGTTTCATAACTACAAGACGTTCTTGGTGCCTCAACGTCTCTAATAATTCACAGTTGTACACAGCCAGATTTTTTCCGCTATATCAGGTTCCGTTATAACGAGGGTTTACTCTATTGTTAACACTCATGAAAGACCAAATTGCTGTTCCTTCCCTACACACAAAAAGTATCATATGCAATAACCTCTTTAAGAACACATTAGACATTGAAGAGCTTATAAGTAGCGTCACAAAACGGCGAGCCGCAGAGATAAATGTGGTAACTAGAAAACTGGTTTTCCGATGTCATTACACCTCTGCCTCCTGCAAGTGTGGATTTCTTGCTGCGATATTTTACCCCGTGTACGCGAAATGGAAACCGCCGATACAGAAAACCAAATGCAGCGGTTGACCAAAGTGCATACAAAGTGAATATTTTGGATCCTTAAAATCTGCTATTTCCAGAACCACTGTTTCTGAGGGACTGTTGGGTTCTCATGCGGTGACAACAAATTTATATACATTAATAAGAATTGGCTCTTGAAAAGCGTTGTACCACCCATACCATGAACTGAGTGAGTGGCCGAGCCAGTCACTGTTGTATGGATTAATTAACATATTGCAGAGAGAGATAGAGAAATATAGGAATGAGGAAAAACAGAAAGCAAGGTGGATAGAAAGAAATATATAAGTGAAAATGTCTCGAAATATTTCCACCAATGGAGTGAAATCCTCGTTGAAAGCTGACTCCAGTTCATGCACAATATAATTTGTTATAATTCTGCCTTACTACGAACGCCACAAAGCCGACTCAAGTAACGGACTTCTGCAGACGTAATCTAGAGTGCAGCAAAAGTTGTGATCGCGGCTTCGAAATTTTGCGTGTTTGCTTCTGTGTTGTTCTGTGAAACTGGGAGCCATTCGCTACGTCCGGCCAAGAGTACGAACAGGCCGCGGAAAACCTCTGCGGTTAGATGAGACAGAGACTCCAAATCAGGGTGTAGCCTAGCGACAGAGTAAAGGATGAAGAGAAAGAAAAAGTCAGGCGCAGGAAGACAGAGAGAAAGAAGGGTGGAAGAACAAATGAAATCCTCCTCGCTCCTTCAGATCTTTTTATCTTTTGCTACTGTCGGTCTTGGCTCCCAGAAACATCGAAGTGATCACGGAAGAGTATATTCATCATCAGTAGTTAAAGGCAGCAGGATGCGGTGCCGTTATCCTTAATTCAGGAATTATGATTGTTTATCCTTAAATGCTTCATGATGTCAGCGCTCCACCACAATGGACAACGCATGTGTTACTCACTTGTTTCCGTTCCTGCATGCATCAACATTTGTTAAGATTATCAAGGCCACGAAATTAAAATTAACAGAATTAAGCGTCTCCTCTTGACCAGCTGCAGTGCAAAAGGAAGAACGTGACTGACTAAATTGTTATTATTATTATTGCTGAAAAGCTTTGTGTATAATAAAGTATCCATACAATGTCTAGAGATAAACAGTCTTGAAGAAGTAAGGTCATACTCGCATAAGCAGCTGCTAACAACAGGAAGAACATTTACCTAGTGCTCTTGGGGCATAGGATGGAGGGAAAAAGAAAGGGGAGTGACTGTAAGGAAACAGAATGCAACATTCGAAGCTAATGAGATGATCCATCCATCCATTCATCCATGGCCCTACAGTCCTTCTGTTGGACCTTGGTCGCTTTTCAGTTTCTTAATCCTATATATAGTTGGTACGACTCCTTGGACGGGGGATTAGCCCGTCGCAAGGCCGCTACCTACACACAGAATAAACGCACATAGACATCTATGCCTTGGGTGGGATTCGAACCCGCGATCCCAGCGTTCGAGCGAGCGAAGATAATGCATGCCTTAGACCGCGCGGCTTCTGTGATTGGCATGGAATGAACTATGGAATCTAAAATTTACTTTTTGTGAATGAGATAAAATGTAAAAGTTGCCCTAGCTTAATCACTACGTGTGAGCATAGGGGACTTGAGGTATGGGAGTCTTGATATGAAGCTCCATGCATTTTTAACCTCGGTGCTAGTTGAAAGTGAATGCTGAGATCAGTGCCTCTTCGGCCTTATCGCACCCTATGAATGGGCCCTCACCGACAACTGATATGAAGCTAGATGACAGCAGAGCCGTTAAACGAAAGCGCCCGTATCCTTCCGGGAATAGAACGTCAGTCGTGCAGACTCGAATCGCTGACTCGTATTTGCTATGTCCACGACTGGAAATATTCCACCGCTACCTATTCACTACGTATACGAAGGCAAAGCTGTCTGTGTGATATTAAGGCGTATGGGAGAGTGGTGGTAAGACGCCACGCGTCCTTAAACTTCTCGCTAGATGTAGGATCACATTCACTCCCCGGGAGCTTTAGCCCTTTTCCCGGGAAAGAACTTCTCTCCGGCATCCCATACTCATTCCAATCATCGTAAACTCATGGTTTACAAAACCCACCACTGGTATCTATCAGTGTGCACATACTAACACGCTATTTCTAGGCAATCGAAGTTCCAAAATATCATAAGTTGTATCTATTATTTTCTGTTCCTTAGTTCATTCCAAAGAATCTGTGAAAGGCCGAGGCAACGTGTAACATTTTGTAAGGTCCTGTACTTTGAAGGGGAACAGCTGTTAGCCCCCCGACAAATCTTCAAGACGAATGCCGTCGTCTGTCCGTGACCGCTTATCCAGTATATTTACAACAATAAATGTGTGCTCTTCACTGATTTCAGGCCGAGACTGACGAAGAATACGAGCGGTGGGTGAAGACTCTGGCTGTCGAACTAATGAGTCAGACGCCGCTCGAAGCAATCAGGTTCCTGGACATTTTAGGTATCACCGCTACCATCGCTGCAAGAAGAGGGTACGAAGGTGAGGGGGTTTGCATGAGGAGAGTGCCAGGCGACGAGAGGGACATCTCGCTCAGGAACTCTCCAGAAGACTTCCATCGCCCTCGAAAACACGCTCAGCTGCAGCGTGAAAACAACTGCACATCGAACTATGAGAGGGGTCGCGCGAAACAGAGAGTGCTGGTGAAGAACCGTGTTTGTGACTGCAAAGAAAAGAGACTAAGAGCACAGAGCAGTGACCCAGTGCGTAAGATGTCGGACAGCGACTCTGAGCTGGAAGACGCGGACGAGAAAGAAGTGGCAGCACTGCTTCGGAAGTGCCAGCAGGTGGATAACTACGTCCCAGTTCGCGAAAAGAGACGCCTCTTCGAGTCCCTCTGCCGGCAGGGACGTCGTCTAGCGCAGAGTAGCGACAATCTCTGCAGGAGCACTGGGACTGCGGAGGTGAAGGTGAGGCGCAAGAAGCGGGCCAGATCCTTACACGACCTCAGTAGGAGCAACGTGGCTGTGAGAGAGATATGTCGGTACTTCGAGGCACGCGGACAGCTTGCACAAGATGTCAGTCAACAAATCGTTAGGCTTGCTATCTGAAGGAGAAAGTAGTGTAATATTGGGTTGGTGAGTTGTTGAAAAGCATCACGTGATATGGGAGACCACACGCAGGCAGCCACGTTGAATGGCGTCTGACGCTGTTTTGGTAGCTTAAGGCCTGTCTTTTCGGAGGTTCTTACGTTTTATACTCTGGGGTGTGGTCTTTGGTGTAGTGTGTTCTGACGTCATTTAGTGATAAGGTGATGAACCGTGCCTAATGTAATGCAGAGTTGCCATGACAGTTGTACCATGAAGGAATATGTTGTTGTAGAGCCAGATAAATGCACCATGTGTACAAACCTACATTTAATTCTCCACCAGTGCAACTCTTACGGCAATCCTGTATTTTTTTTGCGACTGTTATCGCCAAAATGATGTCAATGCACACTAAACCCAAAACCCCACCCAAGTGTGTAAAACATAAGAACCGCTGACAAGACAGGTCCCAAGGTACCAGGACAGTGTCAGACACCATCCAACATGGCTGTCTGTATGTGGTCACCCATCCCTATAATAGGCAGCACCCAGTCACAAGACGCTCTGCACCCACCAACACAGCATTACAGCAGATAAGGTTTTATGCATCTGCCATGTTCTTACTTTTTGTATGATAAAAAGAGGCCTTGGTAAATTTGTCTGGCACTATATGTAGCACCTTTGAGGATACTACTAGTAGCTCAACGGCCATCGCCTGCTTCGAGGAGAGAGGCTTATCAGTCTGGTAGAAGCAGGTAGCAGAATGTGAGGAAAGCATTTCGGTTTTCCAAAAATTAAATCTTTTTTAAATTTATATTACAAGTAAATATCCTATAGAAAGATCTTATGTGCAATTTACATTTGAGACAAAAATGTATCTGTAGCATTTATTTGAGTGTATTTGTTTTCCTGTCTTGGGCAGGGCTAAGGAGAAGGTGAAGTCAAACATTAAGTCTTATACTCATAACAGTGCCTGTGAAATAATCATTGTCACAAATATAAATCACTGCGTCCAATGTGACCTGTAATTACAGGTCACATTGGACGCAGTGATTTATATTTGTGACAATGATTATTTCACAGGCANCATTGTCAGTTTGGGAGTGTGCATACCTTTGGTGAGCAAATGAGACACATGTATTTAGTTTCAAAAACAATCTTACTTTTTGGATAAACCACATTCAAAAGCTATTTTTCTTTTCAGGTTTATTGTATGACACCCTCAGACTGTATATTATTGAAAGGTGGGTGACTGATGAATAATGGATTGGAAAGGATTTGGAAGGAGACATGAATGGCCTAATTGAGGTGCTATCCTGGCATTTGTCTGGAGATGGACCCCCCCCCCCCAAAAAAAAATAAAACATCTCAGGATAGCTGATTTCTCATCTGAGATTAAAACCAAGTACATCCCAAACAAAAGTCTAGAGCTTATTGCTATGCCAGTTTACTTGGTGCTGTGACTGATCTTGATTTACAGATTTGTGTGTATACTTACGTTTTTCAGCACCATAATTTTATATGCAGCTGGTACAGTTCAGGCACCTAACATATTCTCACCCTTTACAAGGTCATAACAGTTAAGATTTTATGCCTCTCAAAAGATGAGGTTGATAGACAAGAGAATCAATGAAGCTGTCTTCAAAATGATGTTGCTCATACTCTTGAGAAGTCAGACTAGCAACTGAAAAGCCTGAAACAGCCCTAATGCAATCCATCGCAGAATATTTGGAACAGTAATTCCCTACTGTGAATTGCCAGTACTCACTATATCACAGATGTGTTAAACTGTTTGTTTGATGTATACTTGTTAATTCAATCAAAATCTCTGTTATTTACAAATTTTCATTACTTATACAGTAGAACTTGGTTATAACGTCATCAAAGGGACGTAAAAATAGTGTCGTTATAAACGAATGTCGTCGTAACCGAAATGGGCACTTCCACAGTAGCCTTATGTTAGTCACGTAAAAATCTACCAAAAACCGAGTTAAAATGTTGCATTTTTTAGTGAAATACATAGTTAAGTACAGACTAACGTAACATTAACGCAGAATTGCCAAAATGTGTAATATCAAAGACATATTACAGCGCTTTTCACTGACAATACACACCGCACTAATACTGTATATTAAAGGTAGGCCTACTCACCAAATTGCAGTAGATAACATCAATTATTGTGCCTTACTGTACCTAGATACGAGTACAGTAATCAGTTATCTTCATCTGTTTCCTGTTACTTGCCCAATACACACTTTCTAAATTACGTTCTATGTCCATATCAGAGAAATTCAGGAATGAAAATGACGTTACATACGAGGTTGATGCATTTGTGCATGTCGTACTAAGCAAGGTATAAAAACAGTTACTTTATGAAGAATTAGTTCGTACCATTGAATATTTGATGCAATAGACAAGGTGTCGCAGAAACCGATGTTGCTATAACCAAGTTTTACTGTATAGCAAAGGATTTTAAAATTAATTATTTATAGTAAAGAATGTGGCATATGTGCTTATTAATAACCGTAAACGATTAATGTGGTACTATATATGTTCTTCCCATCATTCAAATATAAGACACTGATGGAATGTATGGGCTTGCAAGTTTGTCCCAAAACCAGTCAACAAACATACAAAGGTATGAATCAGAGCTGCACACTGAAGGAACTGCATTTTACAAATTTATTAGAGACGTGACTGTAGTAAAATTATTCATATATTTAAAACGTAAGAGACAGTATGGCAGTTACTGCATGTACAGGGGAACGCCCTTCTACTGTTGCTTGATTTCAAGCTTTCCGTCATCTAATGTTGTTTCAATGATTCCAGGTCAATATGGTTAGTGTTAAAAGACTTCCATTTAAGATTTCAGTTTAGTGTTAAAATCCATAAAGTTTTACGTTTCCTTACCCTGAGAACAGAGATGCCTGGTCACTTTTCTTGCACCCCCACAAACTTTCATTTTCTGGAAGTCTTTGAAGATTACAGTAAAGACATTTTCCCCCTTAATTTATACATGATTGAGATGTTATAATGAAGAACTCTTCATGACTGTATATGTATTATGTGATTTAAGATGATAGTTTTGTACTTAGTCTTGTGTGATAGTTCTTATATTTATGATACAATATAAATAAATTCTAAAAAATACCTTCATACAAGTTATGCCAATATACGTGATTTTAAAAAACTACCTATGGACCAGAGTCATTCCACGGACAGTAGCTTAGTCAATCACAAAATACTCCACCTTTGCATGGAACCAAAAGTATTATTACTTTGTTCATAAGGGCCCACTACCATGGTACTGCACTGGTCCTAGTGTGAACTACATGAACACATTACATCCTCAAACCCTGTTCCTCTGAGATCCATTTTAATGTTATCCTCCCATCTGGAATGAAATTCCCCTAAGCTGTCTCTTGTCTTGAGGTCTTCTGACAAAAATTTGTATGCATTGTCACCACTCATATGTGCTACGTGCTCTGCCCATTTCATCTTCTTTGATTTAATCACCCTCATTACATTTGGTGAACAGTGCAAATTATGAAGCTGCACTCATTCATGGAGCTGAGCCCATCTTGAGGAGATGGCAATTGTGCAGCTAATCAAGAACTTCCCAGCATTTTATGGAATCTGAAGGTTTATTACTTTGTTCATAAGAACCCTCCATTGGTCCCTATCCTGAGCCAGATCGATCCAATCCATACCATCCCATCCTATCTCTCGAAGATCCACTTCAATATTGTCCACCCACCTACGTCTTGTTTTTCCCAGTGGTCTCTTTCCTCCTAACTTTCCCAAAAATATCCTATATTCATTTTTCAGCCCCATTTGTGCTACATGCCCTTCCCACCTCATCCTCCTTGACTTCATCATTCTAATTATACCTGGAGAAGAGTACAAGTTATGAAGCTCCTCATTATGCAGTTTTCTCCAACCTCCTGTCACTTCATCTCTCTTCGGTCCAAATATTCTCAACACCCTGTTCTCGAACACCCTCAGTCTATGTTCCTCTCTTAAAGTCAGAGACCAAGTTTCACACCCATACAGAACCAGAGGCAAACTTACAGTTTTCTATATTCTAATTTTTGTTTTTAGACAGCAGACAAGGACACAAAAGGTCCTGGACTGAATGGTAGCAAGCATTATCCAAATTCAATCTCTTAATTTCCTCATGAATCAGGATTTGATTTGTTATCATCATTCCCAAATATCTGAACTGTGCCACATTTTTAAACACCTATTACCTAGCTTTATGTCATGATTTTGCCCTGCATTTTGGTGATGAGACAGCAGAATATACCGTATTTACGCATGTATAGGCCGCACATTTTTTGCCAAAAATTCAGGAGGAAAACTGGGGTGCGAAATCACACTTCATTTAAAAAAAATTATATTTGCCAAATNCTATATTCTAATTTTTGTTTTTAGACAGCAGACAAGGACACAAAAGGTCCTGGACTGAATGGTAGCAAGCATTATCCAAATTCAATCTCTTAATTTCCTCATGAATCAGGATTTGATTTGTTATCATCATTCCCAAATATCTGAACTGTGCCACATTTTTAAACACCTATTACCTAGCTTTATGTCATGATTTTGCCCTGCATTTTGGTGATGAGACAGCAGAATATACCGTATTTACGCATGTATAGGCCGCACATTTTTTGCCAAAAATTCAGGAGGAAAACTGGGGTGCGAAATCACACTTCATTTAAAAAAAATTATATTTGCCAAATTTCGGAATAATTTCTACTCCTGAAATAATATTCCAAGAAAATTATTTTTTCTATAATTTGTCTGAAAATTGTGCTGCGGCCTATACACGCACGCGGCCTATACATGCGTAAATACGGTACTTGGTTTTCTCTGTGTTTACTTCTAGACCAACCTCCTTACTAGCATCAATAAAAAAGTTTGTGTGTTTCTCTTTACGGTATCTATATTATCAACCAGTAGATTCACATCATCAGCATAGACCACAGCTGATGTGTCCCATCTAATTTCAGTCCCACTTGGTTGTCTTGGAGCTTCCTAATGGCATATTCTAAAGCAAAATAGAAAAGCAGTGGCGATAAAGCATCTCCTTGTTTTGGACCAGTCTGGATAGGGAAATGATCAGACAAATGCTTACCTATACGGACCCCACCAAAAGTCTTGTGTACTGTTTCCTCCTCTTGCATACACAAAAATATAGCTAAATCCTGCCAGGACAGCCTGAACACTGCTACTGAATCCGGCCACTACATCTTATACTCGTCCTAAAAATACGGCTACCTTGTATAGATGTGCAGTATACACACATATCCCTTCCTATAGAAACAGAACTGAGAGATGTCTCACAACCACAGTCCCCACCAAATCTCATACTGATGGAGTAACCTCTTTCCATCAGAAGCACCAGTGCCATGGTACTATTAATTTCAGTATGCGTACTGTAGGATATTCCAAATGTTTTTGTCTAATATTTTTCTTACAGTAGATGTTATAATACTAAATATATTATGTATATTATGAATATTTACAAAATATATTACGGAATTCTGACTAACCAAACTAACCACAAACCAACAATAACATGACCAACAGAATTCATATTTCCTACAGAGACGGCACATACAAAATCAACAGCATCACTAGATGAAACATGTAACCACCTATAAAACTATACAGAGCCATAAACCAGAAGACCACAGTCTTAATTTTCACCTCTGTGAAAACCTTACTCTGTTGAGTGTAGCTACAAATGTTATGTGAAACAGTCATGATACAAATAAAAATGTGCACTAAACCCTCTAAATAATAATAATGATGAAAACACCTAGTCCAGGAAAAATTCAATACAGTGCATTTATGTAGTTATATCAAGGGTGGGGGAGAAAAATAAAGAAAAGATAAAGAAGCTCAGATGGTAAAATGTGGGTCATTTCCTGCAGACAGGTTTATTTCTATGGTAGTATAAATACAAGTCACAGAACAATTCATTTTGTATTAAGGGAGTTTAAAACAACAAAGATTACTACAACATGTAATTTTATGATGTATTTATTTACAGGAAAATAAAATATGGACATGAGGAAATCTAATAAATCTAGTAATAAGGGCTCTTGAAATTATTCTTTTGAGGTTGCAGTGTTTAAGAATGCTGAACTGAGAACATGGCAGAAGAGACATATGTACAGTAAGTGCAGAACAATATTCACAGAAAAGTGAAGAAATCTTAAGAGGGTATATTTAGAGGAGAGCAGAAAATGAGGGACATTCCAGAAGACAGGAGAAAAAAATCAATGGCATTTTGAAAACTATGTGAAGGTAAAGCTGTCCTTGTGCTTAAGCAATTAAGCACTACGCCATGAAGGCATACGGAGGTGTGGTCAGCTTCATGCCCCGGCCGCTTTATCCGCAAGAAAAGAGCCCCCAGTACCAATTGAATAGGAGGTTGGGTGGACCCCAGAACTATGTGAAGGTTACAGGAAAAACAAACAAGCATGAAAAGCAGGAATCAGGGTGTCATGACAGCTGTAAACAGCCAAAAGACAATGATGAAACTATAAGGAAATATGAAAACATTCTGACTGATAACCAACTGTTTTATTCAAACATATTTCTTAATAAGAATACTGATAAATTAATATTTTACTTTCCAACAGGAAAACAACTGTGTGCAATACTGTATTAACATAACAAAGTGATACTTCTTAAAAGAATCAAATCACTGCAAATTTATTAAATGGGGAAAGGACACTTACACAGCATCATGATGATAAAATGCTATGAAGTTCAATACAGGTGTAAATAAAATATACAGCTCCAAATTTCAACATAACATCAGCCTTAAGTGTCTCCTCCTTCCTCCAGACCAGTCTAATCCATTTCTGTGAAACACAATCACATAAGTACTGCTGCAGGTTCAGCGTAAAATGAAGTCCTTCACGATTAGGACGATTATTACAATGATGAAGTATTGGTTTTTCACTCAAAAAGTGGAATTCAAATTAAACTATGTTTGAAGTCCAATTTATTCCACATATACTCAGTTATCTTTCTATTGCAGAATAATATTCAACACAACCTGCATTCATAGCATGGCAAAGACACATACACCGCAACACACCACCTCACATCAGACAAGGACAGCCATGTTTAGTAGAAGCCCATATGATCTCTGCAGCCTCTTAAGCCATTTCACCTAGAACAAACAATGGTGGTGTGTCCAATGTAAGGATTAGTTTTGAATGTACTTTCAGTGGCAGATCTCTACATCCAAACAACTCTGCACATTATTCCATTAAGTCTGTTACAGATTACAGCCAAGAAATGGTAGTATAGATAGGCAGGTTAAAGTTGTGGCTGGTTTTCCCATTACAGGAAAATTCATAAAGGGTTACAGTAAAAATACTTTTCTATATGATGAATATCACTCTCTTCAAAGCATGTCTATGTAAAATCCATCCCAGAAGGAATGAAGGTGCTGGGAAGAAGACTTTAGAAATTCTAGCCAAGGAGTTATTAAAATCATGCCAGGCTAGATTATTAACATGGTGACAGAAGCACAGTAATATTCCAATGATACTGCACACTTCAAAGATCAAGATATATTATTATTATTAGTAGTAGTAGCATTGGTTATATATATATATATATCATCAATATTACTTTTCTGCTTTATTGGTGATATATGTAAGACCTGTAAAGCCCTTCTCGAGAAGCTGGCTGAGAAATGTCCAACTATTATGGAACCAGCAGGCACTATAACAGGCCACCACATTGTTAATTAATACAAATTAATAAATTCTCAGTTCTGACATGGGAAAGCAGTCTTTGGTCCAACTGGTTTTAGTGGTGATAAGCCAATTTCTATAAGGTACTATGCAACTTGCAATCAAACCTCATTAAGTGAATGCACTTGGGCGCGCCAGAGCTCAAGTGGTTAGTCGCTGGCTTCCCACCGTGGTGGCCCAGGTTTGATCCCGGGTCTGGTCAAGTGGGATTTGTGGTGGACAAAGTGGTGCTGGAGTAGGTTTTCTCCGAGTACTTCGGTTTCCCCTGCCAATCTTCATTCCACCAACTGCTCCACAATCACCCTCGCCTATCATCTGGGGCTGGTACAATAGGCCAGAAGTGGCCACAGTACAAGGGACTTAGTCTCACCCCACTAGCAAAAAAAAAAAAGTGAATGCACTTAGAGTACAGGATTGTAATGGAACATTAAAGATGGAAAACAAAGGGTTAAGATACCACTGTTGGCTACTTAACAAATTTGTAGTCAGGATATCTACATGCTATAGTAATGCCACGAAATATTATAGAATTAACGTTTCTTAAACATTCTTAAGAGTTCTTCAGTTTTCCAATTGCATATCAAAATATTATT